GCCTGGGCTGTTAGGATCTGTACCTGAATTTTCCTAAGGATTCTTTGAAGTAGACTATTGTCCTCTGGCTTTAGTGGGACCAAGGGGTGGGCACTGGAGAGTGAAGGCTCTAGGAATCCCACTGGCCTGATGCTGCATCGTCTGAGATGGGGGTTAACTTGACTGAGGCCCTAGAGCCAGGGGAACTGCAAAGGCACTGGGCAGCTCCACTTCCTACAGTCTCAGTCACCCACGACCACTCCATCTCCTTAAACATTCTTTCCTGCCTGCAGATCCCAGACCAGGCTCACATGCTACCTCTTTTGTTGCCATAGCATCCTGGACCCAACCTCCACAGGGCCTGCCCAGGACTTGAATTTTCTTTTAGCTGATAATGGTTTTTAATTGAAAATAGATTTTTAAATATGGTATGTTCTGATTACAGTTTCCCAACACCCAACTCTTCCCAGATCCTTCCCACTTCTCCACCCACCAGACCCTCCCTCTCCCATTAGAATACAGACATCTAAAAAATAACAATAAGATAAAATATAAACAAACCAGGATAGGAAAAACAAGCAGAGACAAAAAGAGCCAAAAAGAAGCACAGGAGACACACAGACGCTGAGACACGTTCACACACACAGGAGACACACAGACGCTGAGACACATTCACACACACAGGAAGAAGCACAGGAGACACACAGACACTGAGACATATTCGCACACACAGAAAACCCATAAAAACAAAAATCGGAAACCATAATATATTAGCAAAGGAGTTTTAAGGGAGAAACAAACAAATACAACAAAATAAAAACAGAACAAAAATCCTCCCCAAAATACCACTGAGTTTATTTTGCATTGACCTTCTGCTGCTGGGTATGGGGCCTGTCCTTAAGTGTGGTTCGTATACCCAGTGAGACTGTTAAAGAAAACAAACTTTTCCTTTTTTAGCTGGTACTTTGAGCTCAAGAGAGTAGAGGCTGTGTCTGCTTTTTCTCAGCCTTTACACCTGGCATAGGTTGCAGGCATTCAATTAACATTTAGTGGAAGCAACCAGTCCTTCAGGAGATTGAGTGTTGATAGTTACCAAAGAAGAGGATCAGGCCGGGAGTGACCCCTGTTGAGGGAGGGAGGCCAGGCATTCAGAGCTGGGCACAGAGGCACAAATGGCCCCGAGGGCGGGAGGAGCCCAGGAGGCAGAAGGCATCTTGTTGGTGATGAGATCACCTAAATATGATCCATAACCACCCTACAACCAGGTAGCAAACACCAACCCACATTACCACAGCCACCCTACAGCCAGGTCCCAAACACCGGCCCACCCTACAGCCAGGTTCCAAGCACCCGCCCACATTTACCAACCATTTGAGATTGGGCCAGTTGTGTAGCCTCCACAAAACTTTGTTTCTTAATTTGTAAGTATACGCGACTTCCTCCTAACCGTGACCAGAGGAATCAAATTAGGTAGACTGTAGAGAACACTGCACAGTGTCTAGCCCAGTGCTATGTCAAAGAATGTTAATATTATCTCAGTACTTTTATATTTATTATTGTATATATTATGATAATATGGATATTATTATATTTATATTTATTTTATGTGTATCGCTGTCTGCCTGCCTGCATGTCTGTGCACCATGTGTGTGGCTGGTGTCTGTAGTGTCAGATGCCCTGAAGCTGGAGTTAAAGAGTTGTGAGCCACTGTGGGAGTGATGGGAGCCCAGCTCAGATTCTCCACAAGATAAGCTGACATTACATGACCGAAGGGACAGAATGTCAGTTTTACAGCATACACACCAGCACTGGGAGAGCTGACATTATTTATAGTTTGACTTCCTCTCCAAAAATCCAAGTAGTTCCTTGCTGTTTCCATTTTGGGAACTACAGAAGCTGAAAATTACGTGTTTATTGGTGGCAATCTTATGACATCCAGAGATCCATGCTCTGCTATGCCGTAAAAACACCTTTTTATTAATGTGGTAGTGGTGGTTTTAAACAACGGTAGACAGCAGAGTTAGCACTGTTAAGACACTGAGGCCCCGGTAAGAGGCAACACAAAAGTGAATTGGGTACTCGCCACCCTTCTCAGTGAGCCAGGCCTCAAAGAGAGGAGATGAATGTGGGCTAGCCTGTTCAACTGGGAGATATGGCAGAACTTGAGTTATGGCAGAATAAAACCAGATATGTGTGATTCTTGTCTTGACTAGTGTTGGTTTCCAACAGCTGGTGCTTGCCCAATTTAGGCTTGAAGGAACAAGGACCATTTAGAAGGGACTCTGGGTGACGAAGGAGACTAAACGGTGTTGACACTGTTGAGTATTCTGACATTTTTGCACCTCTCTCAGGTGCACCTCTCTTAGGGTTTGTGTTAATACTGTGCTTTGGGTGACAGAAAAAGAACACCCAATGGGTACAGGTTTTATTAACTGAGGAGTGAGATTGGCTTATGAAACAGAGAGGCAGCCATTCTGGGGCCCGTTAATGAGAGGCACAGCATTAAATTCAGAAGTTTAGGTCACTTCCTGCCTTCTCTCTGTGCCCTGTTGACCCTGTCCTCAGGCCCTTCTCTCTGTCCAGTCACAGGCTTGCTGTCTTCTATCCATTCCTTTATTAGTCAGAGAGTCTCTCACAGATTATGTTTAATTGTGGAAAATTTTTTCTCCACCCAATGTTTTAATCAAAATGATATTGATACCGATCTGTTTTCATGGAGACAATATTTTCTGGATCCAACTTTATTGAAACAGTTTCAAGATTTTAGGAAAGAGTAGACAGGTTGTATCCGCCCTGTGGCCTGTGGTAGGATATGTGCTGCCAAGGATAGCCATGCATGCATCCTGGTACAAAAGCAGAGGCAGCCTGAGTGCACAGTTCTTGAACACAGACTTTGCAGATGAGAACATTGTGTCACAATGTCAAAAGGGCGGACACCCCTGCTGGCTACCAGCACCTTGTACCATCTTCGTTGTTGTTTGTATTAATTTTTTCCATATAAGTTTTCTTTGCCAAATTTTGTTCATTATATTTGGGGGTTTGACCAATATGGTCTCTTTTTCTCTTTTATCTCTTTATTCCCCCCACCCTACCCCTTTTGTTTGTTTGAAATGCTAAGAATAAAACCCAGGGCTTTGCACATCTCTGAGACAGCGTCTCACTGTGTACCAGATTAGCCGTGTATTATTTTTTTATTTTTTAACATTTACCGGGAGGTGGGCATGCATATGGAGGCCAGAGGGCAGCATTCAAGAGTCTGGTCTCTGCTTCTGCCATGGGGCTCCAGGAATCGATCGCAGGTCACGCTTACCTTCCCAATCATCTCCTGTCACTGACTGTGAACCCTCAGCTTTCTAGGTTTGGATATTACAGGCATACTGATGTCATCAGCTGACCGATTTCTTAAAAACCAAATTCTTAGTATGTATTAAGTGTATGAAGTAATTAAATTCATCATGATATTTTCATCCATGTGTATAATGTTCTTTTGAAACTATCTGAGTCTATAGCACTTTCCTTGGATTAAATTATTGGATCAAGAAATCTTGTGTCGACTCTTCCATTTCATAATCCTCCTTGAGACTTGGATGGAAGGCTGATTGACCTCTGGTAAGCAGAGATTAAGTATTGCTCTGATATTGCCTTGAAGGTCTTAGCAGTCAGGGCCCTGTGGGGTCTGACCCTGTCTGATGGCTCTTTTGGTAGGGAACCTGTTGAGTGGCCTGTACAGATAAGCTTTTTTGATGTTTGATATTGGGGAATGCTAACTGAATCCCAATGAAGAGAAATGTTAAGAATCCACTTCAGACAACTTTATTATTCTCGTTAGTAGACATACTAAAATATTAGTGATTGTTATTACTGTATTTTGAATTTTTGGAAAAAAATGTATGTGTGTGCACGTGCGTGCATGCATGCATGTGTGTGTGTGGGGGCAGGGAGATTCATTTTCTTTCTTGTTACAAAAATTCTAAGTCACTCAAGAAGGCTGAGGCAGAATAGTTACCATGAATTTGAGGTCAATGTGAACCCTGTCAAAAGAAAATTCTACAAAATATTTCCGATTTTCCTCTTGTACTGAAAAACCTTAAAGTACTCACTATCTAGTCCTTTATGAAGAGGCTGGATGACCCCATCTCCCATACTGCAGTCCTGAACTCCAGCACAGCTGTCACAATCTTAAACTGCCTGTTCTGTTGGGGTCACAAGGAGCATAATATGGTGAACACCTGAGTCTGTCCCAGTTGCTTTAATAAAAGACCTCAGGCTGTTTCTGAAGGCTGCAGTGGCTGAGGTGTGGCTCTAGCGAGGAACCACATTCCTTCTTAGCGTGTGCTGAGTATAGAATGGACATGACAGCTCTCTGGGGTCTTTGTGTAAAGGCTCTGATCCTTTCACAAGGGAGTCAAAGGCCCACTCCCCAACACTAGCTCAGGGACGAGGTTAATTTTCTAAACGAGTACTGGAGAGACACAAACTTTCAGTCCCCAGCAGTGAGTGAGGATGATACATTCTTAACTCCTCAATCCATGGAGTCAAAACATCTGTCAAGCAGCCAGTGGTGGGGTGCCATCTTAGCAGTGAGTGGCGATGGAGGGCAGCTTGTCAGACTCACCTGTGGTTGTGACATAAAGAAAAACAGACTTAAGGGTCTCCTGTAGAAAGTCAGTTTTCTAGGTCAGCTGTGGTAGTGCATGCCTTTAATTCAGGACTCAGGAAGCAGGTGGGACACTCTAAATTTGAGACTAGCCTGGTCTACGCAGTAAGTTCCAAGTTCCATATGTAACCAGGGATACACAGTTCAATTCTGTCTGAAAAAATGAAAAGTATGTTTTCCTTGTGCTCTTTGTACTGGTGTGCGACGAGGCCAGCGTGTTGGGACTGCCAAGACATCATTGTTTGGAGGCGTCAGCGTCGGAGGGAGACCTCGTTTTTTTGAAACTTGGAATTACTGAGGAGCCTTTGATTTTTTTCTTCCTGTTGCCAACTGAAGTCAGCTTCTTTTTTCTTTCCTTTAACAGATGAGGAGAAAGAAAATAACAGAGCGTCCAAGCCTCACTCCACGCCTGCCACCCTGCAATGGTAAGTGTCTGCTTTCGGGAAGTATGAGCCACCCAGATCTCTCTAGCTGGGCCGGGCTGTCACGTGGCTCCTTTGACGATGTGATGCTGATCTGGTAACCCTTGAGCAAAATATTTGGTTTGCAGGTAAACGCAAAGAGCTCCCCTTAGATCGAGCCTGGTGGTTTGAGTTTTCACAAGTCTTTTCTTTGGAAGTAAATTTTATTCTCATTAGCAAAATACTGGTAAGAATTAGATTTTATGTGAGTGTTGTTAGCTGAGTTTTAATGGGGTCTGTTGTTACAATGGATTGGGGTTTTAGCAAATAGTAGAAATAAAAGTCTGTTCATTTCTAACCGAGGAGCCCTGAGTAAATTAATAGTTGATGGAAATATAATTATTTTAGCACTACAACAATAACAAAAGCAATCCTCTAAATGACTTTCCATTTACTCTTTGAAACTCCTGGCCCTGGTGAAATGTACAGAGAGGGGCTTTCTTCTCAAAGCTTTATTTGAACATTGTGCTGTGGCTTTGAGCCCTGGAGGTCTCTGAGGTGAGGCCCTGGAGAATCTTGGCAGTTGAAGGCTGTTCTTCTCTTAGCAGTCTGGCTCAGGGAACCCAAAGGAACCCAGGAGTCATGGGGAGGGACAGGTTTGGAGAAGAGAAGGTGTCACATCGATTCCGTGCCAGCTCCTGTGTGGGGCTCCCTTACCCGCTCTATGTCATCTAGAGGTCAAAGGCCTTCCTATTTCTGTCTGTTTTCTAGAGGAGGAAGGGATGCTAAGAGAGTTACATCATTCGTGGGCCACTGCTTTTTAAGTGGGAGGAGTCAGGAATCTAACTGCCAACCTGGTTCTTGGGAAGAGAAAGGGGGAGGGATCGGATGGAGACAGGAAGCCAGCGACTGTAAGGACTGTGTCATGTTTTAGTCTCTGGGCTGATGTACTCAGAGAGGAGGGAACCACGGCAGAGGCGAAGGCACCTGGAAAGAACTCAGGTTGCCCTCCAGGAGTCTCCATGGCCAGCTTGCCAGCAGAACTTCAATGAGGACAAAACACACATAAAGAAAGACACATAATGGGGACAGTGAAAGGTCTAGAAAGGAGTCTTAGAGGCCACCTGTGTCATCTGGAGACAGAGCTAGCTGCCGCTGACACTCTCACTACAGGAGGTGACGTCCTTTTGTCTTCCTCTTGTCTCTGAAAGCTTTAGCCAGAAACCTGTCACCTGGCTCAGTTGGATGAGCGCTTGCCCTATGTACAGGAAGCCTGACTTCAGTGCCCAACACATGATAAACCACGTGTGGTAACTCATGCCTGTTATCCCAGCACATGGAAGGTGGAGGTGAGAGGGTTAAACTCAGCTTCTCCTTTGCATGCAGTGAGTTCGAGATCAGCCTGACTACTTGAGATCCTGTTCCCCTTACCTCTGCCAAAAATGGAGGACAGAGATTCTAAACTGTCCCCCCCGCCCCCAGCGAACTCATTTCTTGTAGTACCTGTTTTTCTGTGATCCTTGAGCATCTGCCTGGAACGGTCAGATTGTCATCTGACTCTGACATCAGACTGGGGACAGATCCCAGCTTTGCCACTTGTCTGCCTCAGGCCAGTCCTCAGCCTCTCTCTGCCTCAGTTTACACACCAGTGCAACGGAGGTGACAGTTGTGTCCTCAGAACACTCTTTCCTTATGAGTCTCCAAAGGGCCACCCAGAACAGGATGGGCCTCCTTCCTACATTCTGTGTCTGCAGCACCTGGTTCTGCATCAGAGATTTGTTCTTTGGAATACAAGGTCAGGTGGAACATTCTAGAACCAATTTCATCCCATGCAAGCATGGAGCAAAACAGATTTGAAAGTGTGTATGTTTAGGAATATCAAATCCAACACCAATTTCCGTTCTGTTGGATATTAACATAGCTTTAGTCATTAACTAAATCGAAACAATGCTTAATGAATACCTACTATGTGTCACTGCCAGTCCTAATGGGATAAAACAGAACCATATAATTTTTATCTGTCTGTCTCTCTGTCTATCTAAATATTTATTTATTTTTTTGTTCGTTTTGAGACAGAGTCTGTAGCCCAGGCTAGTCTTGAACTCTCTCTGGCCTGGACCTCCTGCGTTTAGGGATTACAGTGTAAACTAGCTACTATACCTGGTTTATCCAGGCTTTGGGCAAGCTTGGCAAGTGCTCTACTGAGCTACAACCACAGTGGTATTGTTTTAAGTGACCTCGCTCGAATTAGCCTGTGACGAGAGGTATGAGAGACTTAGAGGGTAGGGTGTCGGCTCTATTCTAGTGAGCAGTAAAGTGTCATCTTCAAGGTGACACTTCAGTGGAGAGATGCGTAACAACAGCAAACCCTCTCTGACACCTCGCCTGTGGAAGCTAGGGTCGAAGGAACATCCAGACAGGGCCACTATGGTGCCAAGGCAGTAGCTGGGCCCTCCACTCTACAGGGTGAGTGCACAGTACGTTTAGCCTGCGCCTGGGATCCACATGGTGCATCTTTGAAGCAGACTCCTTAGGAGCCAGGCTGGGAGGAGATGCTGACTCTGCCTTAAGGAGACCCCTTGGGCAGTTTTGAGACCTCCATGTCCTCTCAGACATGAGCCTCTGTCAAGTCCAGCATGGAATTAACCCTTTAGTTACCCCTATTACCACCACCCCCACCCACCATCACACCTAAGCCAATGGGAGGATATATTGCTTTGGGAAAGGCAGTAGTCTTCTTATTCTGCCAAGGAAGCTTCCTCTTCTGGGCACTCAGCCTCAGAAACCATTTCCCTGTGCCAGTTGTGACCTTAATTGTGAGCGCAGTCTAGTCACACACAAAGACATCCTGGGAGGGGAGCAGGCTGGGCTTGGTCAAGGTACTATAAGCAGCACAGCCTATGTAAGGAGCGCTGTGATACCGAGGGGCTCATGCTGGTTAGCCCCAAGTGTATGAGGCCGAAGTAGGAGGATCAGGAGCTTAAGACCAGCCTCTGCCTTATCAAGTCTGAGGGGCTATGTGACACCCTGTCTCTCTCACACACACAGACACATACACACGCACACGCACACACAAGCACAAAACCCATAAAGGGGACATAGGGAGAGGGAGGTGGAGGGAGAGTGGAAGCTGGAGTACAGGGTGGGGAAACTGGACCCATCCCTTGTTTTACAGATAACAACAATTGATTTATAGCGTGTCTCCCTTTTTGCTCTGGCTGCCTGGGAGCTCAGAGATTAGTCTGAGCTGATTTATTAGTGATCTGTCTGAAAATCCAGGGATGATTGCATGCTTTTGCACACTCCTCTCTCCTTTGTGTAACACTCACCACTTATATTCCTTTAGCATTTTAGAAAATCCGGGATGTAATAGTCATAAATACCTCCTGTGTCTTCTGTTGTTGGTGCAAGTAACACATTTCCTTGTTCAAAAATTAAACTGAAGATTAGGCTAAAGCCCATTCTTACTTTGGTTTTTTGTTTTGTTTTGTTTGCTTCTTCCTAAAAAAAACCTGTTTTCAGTAAGATGTGTGAATATGTTTGTATCACATGAGAATTCCTGTGGGAGTTTTGTGCTGTGTGTCTTTAATTTGTTTTTTATTTTACTTATAGTCTCTCTATAAAAGGCACACAGTGTATTATAATATTGCTTCTCAGCCAGGCTTCATAGATTCTGAGCTTATTTTATTCCTTATAAGAGCATTCGGATGTCACACCAGATCAGTGATGTCACAGTGGAGTAGTGATGTCACAATGTATTTAGTGACATCACATCAGATTGGTGAGACCATAGTGGATTAGTGATGCCATACCAAATTAGTGATGTCACAGTGGATTAGTGACATCACACCAGATTAGTGATGTCATGTCAGATTAGTGATGCCACACCAGATTAGCTAATAAAGAATTAACCTCAGGTTAGAGAGTTGGCTCAGTGGATAAAAGCACCTGCCACCAAGCCTAGCAACCCAACTCTGAGCCATGGAACCCACACAGAAGGACAGAAATGACCTCCATACACCTGCCATTGGAAACGCATGCCTACTCACTCTCCTCTCTCTGTCTCTGTCTCTGCCTCTCTGTCTCTGTCTCTCTCTCTCTCACACACACACACACTCAAAGATTAAGAGAGTCTCTTTATTGTAAGTGACACTCGGTGCTTCATGAAGAATAGCAGCAGAATTTAGCTGCCCGTTTCCCCCTTGGTGGGGATTTTAGATCTGTCCCAATCTCACCTCTGATTTATAGACAGGACCCCAAAGAAGGATTTCATGTGGGTCCTCTGGCAGCCCCAGGAGGGCTCCCTCTGCACACGCATGGACAATAATAGCTGGTACCTACATGAGGGATGGTGATGGGGTTGCAAACTTACCCATCAAACAGTTTCTGCTTTACCTGTGGCTTATGTACACAAACCTAGGAAACTCCCTGTATAAGAATCTTCTGTCTGGGGCGTTTATGTCCTTCAGGTTGTCCTCCGTCTCCTGTGGCAGTTGCAGCCCTAGGGGTGTCAGAAGGGAGAGCTGCTAGGCCAGGCTGACAGCACCCACCCTCCCGGGACAACTTGGCCTGCTCCTAGAACTGGGTTAGGAATGATTTGCTTCTCCTCTGGCCCCTCCCTTCTAGAGCCCCTCCCCACCACTCTGGAGACACCAGGCCTCCTCCGAGAACAAATAACTAACTGCAAAGCAGCCAAAAAGAATCGGGGCCACATGATCTGGAGGCAGCTTCCAGCAGAAAACAGGCAAATATTGTCAAAGGGCTCCTGCCAAGCCCTTTCCAGCATCCTTGGTCATGGGGGTGAGTAAATCCCACCTCACTGGGGATGCTGGGCACCGCTGGGATCCCAGCCACACAATCGCCCCTATTCACACTGAGGAGTTTGAAATGGAAAGCGGCCTGTTGAGCCATGGTGCTGACCTGCTGCCAATGCATGGCTCCTCCGTGGCCTGCCACCCCCCATACCCACAACTGTGCCCTTCTTGAGATCCTGTGTGCCCCATCGAGTATCTTCAGGGTGGGGG